ACAATTATTCACAATCTGTGTACATATACATCCCAATATATATACAATTATTCACAATCTGTGTACATATACATCCCAATATATATACACAATTATTCAAAATCTGTGTACATATACATCCCAATATATATACACAATTATTCACAATCTGTGTCCATATACATCCCAATATATATACACAATTATTTACAATCTGTGTCCATATACATCCCAATATATATACAATTATTTACAATCTGTGTCCATATACATCCCAATATATATACAATTATTCACAATCTGTGTACATATACATCACAATATATATATATATATACAATTATTCACAATCTGTGTACATATACATCCCAATATATATACACAATTATTCACAATCTGTGTCCATATACATCCCAATATATATACAATTATTCACAATCTGTGTACATATACATCCCAATATATATACAATTATTCACAATCTGTGTACATTTACATCCCAATATATATACAATTATTCACAATCTGTGTCCATATACATCCCAATATATATACACAATTATTCACAATCTGTGTACATATACATCCCAATATATATACACAATTATTCACAATCTGTGTACATATACATCCCAATATATATACAATTATTCACAATCTTTGTACATTTACATCCCAATATATATACAATTATTCACAATCTGTGTCCATATACATCCCAATATATATACACAATTATTCACAATCTGTGTCCATATACATCCCAATATATATACAATTATTTACAATCTGTGTCCATATACATCCCAATATATATACAATTATTTACAATCTGTGTCCATATACATCCCAATATATATACACAATTATTCACAATCTGTGTACATATACATCCCAATATATATACACAATTATTCACAATCTGTGTACATATACATCCCAATATATATACAATTATTCACAATCTGTGTACATATACATCCCAATATATATACACAATTATTCACAATCTGTGTACATATACATCCCAATATATATACACAATTATTCACAATCTGTGTACATATACATCCCAATATATATACACAATTATTTACAATCTGTGTACATATACATCACAATATATATACACAATTATTTACAATCTGTGTCCATATACATCCCAATATATATACAATTATTTACAATCTGTGTCCATATACATCCCAATATATATACAATTATTCACAATCTGTGTACATATACATCACAATAGATATATACAATTATTCACAATCTGTGTGCATATACATCCCAATATATATACACAATTATTCACAATCTGTGTGCATATACATCCCAATATATATATACAATTATTCACAATCTGTGTACATATACATCCCAATATATATACACAATTATTCACAATCTGTGTACATATACATCCCAATATATATACAATTATTCACAATCTGTGTGCATATACATCCCAATATATAAATACAATTATTCACAATCTGTGTGCATATACATCCCAATATATATATATACAATTATTCACAATCTGTGTCCATATACATCCCAATATATATATACAATTATTCACAATCTGTGTGCATATACATCCCAATATATATACAATTATTCACAATCTGTGTCCATATACATCCCAATATATATATACAATTATTCACAATCTGTGTGCATATACATCCCAATATATATACAATTATTCACAATCTGTGTCCATATACATCCCAATATATATACACAATTATTCACAATCTGTGTCCATATACATCCCAATATATATACAATGATTTACAATCTGTGTCCATATACATCCCAATATATATACAATGATTCACAATCTGTGTACATATACATCCCAATATATATATACAATGATTCACAATCTGTGTACATATACATCCCAATATATATATACAATTATTCACAATCTGTGTGCATATACATCCCAATATATATATACAATTATTCACAATCTGTGTACATATACATCCCAATATATATATACAATGATTCACAATCTGTGTACATATACATCCCAATATATATATACAATGATTCACAATCTGTGTACATATACATCCCAATATATATATACAATTATTCACAATCTGTGTACATATACATCCCAATATATATATACAATTATTCACAATCTGTGTACATATACATCCCAATATATATACACAATTATTCACAATCTGTGTACATATACATCCCAATATATATACAATTATTCACAATCTGTGTACATATACATCCCAATATATATATATATACAATGATTCACATATACATCCCAATATATATACAATTATTCACAATCTGTGTACATATACATCCCAATATATATATACAATGATTCACAATCTGTGTACATATACATCCCAATATATATATACAATTATTCACAATCTGTGTACATATACATCCCAATATATATATACAATTATTCACAATCTGTGTACATATACATCCCAATATATATACACAATTATTCACAATCTGTGTACATATACATCCCAATATATATACAATTATTCACAATCTGTGTGCATATACATCCCAATATATATATATATACAATGATTCACAATCTGTGTACATATACATCCCAATATATATACAATTATTCACAATCTGTGTACATATACATCCCAATATATATATACAATCATTCACAATCTGTGTCCATATACATCCCAATATATATATACAATTATTCACAATCTGTGTCCATATACATCCCAATATATATACAATGATTCACAATCTGTGTACATATACATCCCAATATATATATACAATTATTCACAATCTGTGTACATATACATCCCAATATATATATACAATGATTCACAATCTGTGTCCATATACATCCCAATATATATATACAATTATTCACAATCTGTGTACATATACATCCCAATATATATACACAATTATTCACAATCTGTGTACATATACATCCCAATATATATACAATTATTCACAATCTGTGTCATATACATCCCAATATATATACAATTATTCACAATCTGTGTCCATATACATCCCAATATATATATACAATTATTCACAATCTGTGTCCATATACATCCCAATATATATACAATTATTCACAATCTGTGTCCATATACATCCCAATATATATACAATTATTCACAATCTGTGTACATATACATCCCAATATATATATACAATTATTCACAATCTGTGTACATATACATCCCAATATATATACACAATTATTCACAATCTGTGTACATATACATCCCAATATATATATACAATTATTCACAATCTGTGTACATATACATCCCAATATATATACACAATTATTCACAATCTGTGTACATATACATCCCAATATATATACAATTATTCACAATCTGTGTGCATATACATCCCAATATATATATATATACAATGATTCACAATCTGTGTACATATACATCCCAATATATATACAATTATTCACAATCTGTGTACATATACATCCCAATATATATATACAATGATTCACAATCTGTGTCCATATACATCCCAATATATATATACAATTATTCACAATCTGTGTACATATACATCCCAATATATATACACAATTATTCACAATCTGTGTACATATACATCCCAATATATATACAATTATTCACAATCTGTGTGCATATACATCCCAATATATATATATATACAATGATTCACAATCTGTGTCCATATACATCCCAATATATATATACAATTATTCACAATCTGTGTCCATATACATCCCAATATATATACAATGATTCACAATCTGTGTACATATACATCCCAATATATATATACAATGATTCACAATCTGTGTACATATACATCCCAATATATATATACAATGATTCACAATCTGTGTACATATACATCCCAATATATATACAATGCTTCTGTGTCAATGAGACAGCCGCTAGAGGGAATGGGGGAAGGCTTAATCCATTCATAAACATAGCAGTTTCTCTGAAACTGCTATGTTTATGAAAAAATGGGTTAACCCTAGCTGGACCTGGCACCCAGAACACTTCATTAAGCTGAAGTGGTCTGGGTGCCTAGAGTGGTCCTTTAATACTAGCAATACGTAATAAATGATTAATATAATTACAAGTATTATAGCTGTGTACACACAGAGGTATTTAATAATACAATTAGTAATAATAGCTAATAAATTAGTCTTTATATATAACGCCTGATTAGTGTTTATGTCTTTGTAGTGACACAAGGACATTTAATGATAAAAATAATACATTTTAACATTAAAGTTGCATTATTGGTCGGTGTCTTTGTGTTGGAATCCCCAACAAGGTCCATGTGGGCATACCCCTTGCATGGGGATTGTCATATAAAGCCAAGGGTGGCACCATTAAAATCTATTCCAGCGTGCACTCCAAAACTGTGTGTTGTCCTGTTATTGGAGGAAAAGAAGATTTACTCTTGTGTCTGCTGTTCCAGCTTGCAGGGCATTCAACTGGAAAAGTCTTTTTAAGCCTTTTAACCGCGAATAGACTTCAAGGGGACTTAGCCACGAATGCCCTGAAACTATTTTCGACATGAAGATTTTGCGGTCCCGGTTGGTCCCCCAGTGGCACTTAGCCGCAATTCTGTGGAACTATTTTTGGCATGAAGACTTTGTGGTTCCCGGTTGGTCGCCAGCGGCACTTAGCCGCAATTCTGTGGAACTATTTTTGGCATGAAGACTTTGTGGTTCCCGGTTGGTCGCCAGCGGCACTTAGCCGCAATTCTATGGAACCGTTTTGGGCATGGGACCATGCTTGCGGTCGGTAAAAACTATGACTTCCAGGAAATTCCTGACCCCCTGAACTGATCTGGGTGATTTTTGGATATGTTTGTCACCCAGATCAGGGCTATCAGGGGATGTAACTTTTGTGGGGATTTTATGTGTGTGACAAACTACCCTTGTTAAGGGAGTTTGCCTGCCTCCTGCCCTGTGACTATGGCCCCTGGATGGATTTCCCTTTAAAAGCACTATTTGGGCATATTGGATTTGAAAAGGCTGTTACTGCCCCTTTAAACTCTACTGGAAAGGTTTTGCACTTTCGAAGTGGCACTTCAGAAACAGCCAAGTGGCCGCCATCAGACATAGGAACACGTGGCGGCGGCTATTTTGTTTAGTCGAACCCCATTCAGCGGTGTTTGGTCGTCGAGTTCATAGAACTCAAATCGGACACTCGACGGCACGAACACCGTTGAACTTTACCTTCTCTGAACTGCAACCCTTCGACTAGAGTCGAACGCCAATTGACAACTCGAACGCCACTTTAACATTGACATTTGCACGAACGGTTGCCGTTCGTCTATTTGAACTGCATTTAATATGGGAAATAGATTGGCCGCACACCCCAATTCTCTGGAAATGTTTTGGGCATGAAAATGTGCGTGCGGTCGGTCAAATGTGACTTCCTTGGAACTTTTGAACCCCTGCTCTGATCTGGGTGATTTTTGGATATGTTGTTCACCCAGATCATTTATGGGGATTTGTTGTATTTTGGGGTACTTTTTGGGGTTTGTATAAATGTATGTTTTTTCTGCCTGTGGATAATTAAGTTATTCCATTAGCTAGCTTAATTATATCACAGGCAGAGGGGAGGGCTTGCTGACTGTATGTGGAAGTGTTTCGGTGTTAATTATTGTTTCTATTGGCTTTTGTAACTTTGTGTCCTGTGTTCCACAAGGTCCACGTGGGCGGTAACCTTGTGGGGAAAAATTGTATAAAAGAAGCAGCTGTATCATTAAACCCTCAGTTCTACTTCACCCTCAATTTAGAGTCCTGTCTCTTATTGGGGGAATCTGTTACAAAGGATTGCTATGCTCTTCATACTCCCTTGAATAATCACTAAGCTCCTGTAAGAGCTTGTTCCGGTTCCTGTCCTGCTTCACTTTCTGGGGAAAGAGAGGTTCACCCACTGGAACCTGGAGCCTTGTCATAGGTCCAGGGTGGGTAGGAGACGGCGAGACACCAACCAAGCTGCGGCAGTTCGTGGGGTCTGCGGTGGTTATGGTCTCTGGTGGAGTGCTTGGAGCCCTCAGAAAGCGCTAGGAGCATCCTTCAACGGAGGTACCCAGTCGGGGTGCCAGGTGATCCGTTACAATGTGTTTTAAGGTTTTTTTTTGTTTTTTTTTAAATGTGTGTTTTGTGTTTGGAGAAAATGGAGTTTAGTATAGTGCTTCACTCAATTATCTCCTAAGTAAAGGCAAAGGCTTATTGTATTGTATATGGGAGTGTCATGCATTGTAACACTGTTATTATTGGCCTGTGACTTTGTAATGAACTCAGTGAAGACTGCATTTACCATCCTGCAGAAACACCCATCACTCTCTCAGGCCTCACTTCACAATCAACTCAGTGAAGACTGCATTTACCATCCTGCAGAAACACCCATCACTCTCAGGCCTCACTTCACAATCAACTCAGTGAAGACTGCATTTACCATCCTGCAGAAACACCCATCACTCTCAGGCCTCACTTCACAATCAACTCAGTGAAGACTGCATTTACCATCCTGCAGAAACACCCATCACTCTCAGGTACTGACTGAAGCTTGGAAGATACTCCACCTCCCGTATTACTGGATTGCTACAAAATTCTCATGTGTTACTATAGAGTTGTTACAATTGATACCTGTAGTTTGCCACTGTAATGTTATGTGCATGCAGTGTGTACCACTGTCATTTAATGTTTGTGACCAATATTTCATGTAGACAGTTATTAATATTTTGGGTGATAGAATTTGATTGCTAAACTCTTCAATAGTCTATAACACATGTTATATATATATGTTATATTTTTGTAAGTATTTATCCAATTGCAGTTTAAAGATCTGTAGTGACTCTGACAAAACCACCTCTTCAGGCAGAGAATTCCATATCCTTATTGCTCTTACTGTAAAAAAACCTTTTCTTTGCCTTAGATGAAATCTCCTTTCTTCCAGCCTAAATGTGTGACCTTGTGTCCTATGTATAGCCCTGTTTATGAATAGATTTCCAGATAAAGGTTTGTACTAGCCCCGAATATATTTGTATAATGTTATCATATCCCCTTCTCAGGTGCCGTTTTTCCAAACTAAACAGATTTCATTTTTTAACCTTTCTTCATAACTAAAATGCTCCATTCCTTTTATCAATTTTGTAGCTCGTCTCTGGACTTTTTCTAGCGCCATGATATCTTTCTTTAGAACAGGCGCCCAAAATTGCACAGCATATTCAAGGTGTGGTCTTACCAGGGATTTATAAAGAGGCAAAATTATATTTTCATCCCGAGAATTTATGCCCCTATTTATACATGACAAAATCTTACTGGCCTTAGCAACTGCAGATTGACATTGCATATTGCTGCCTAATTTGTTGTCCTTTACCACGTAAAGGAGCAGATACTGAGAGCCCACAGGATCAGAAAAGACATCTCGTAGAAATTCAAAGATACCCAACTGTTCATGGACCTATCAGCGGAAACACTACGTCCCAGGCGCTCCTACAAGAAGATTACTGAAATGTTGCGCCACCACAATATCCCATACCGTTGGGGTTTCCCCACAAAGCTCTTAATCAACAACCTCCGAACAAACACCTTATGTTCAAATACCCAGGAGCAAGCAATCACCTCCACTGCCATCACAAACGCACAGCCCATACAGGGCTTTAGATAAAGCACATACCACTGATTATGAAATTTGCGAAGAATCACCCTCCATTCATTCGATTCATTCCCTCCCTGCTATTTTATTTGTTAAATGTATTGCCTTTATTGCGGTTTATTCTGTATTTTCAATTCGTTATAATCCCTTGTTCAGTAAAATAGCTATTTTACCGAACGAGGACCAC